GATCCTCCCCTGGATGTAGTCCTGGACCCAAACGATCCACCTTTATCGGGATCCTGGCTGATGGATTCGGCCCCATTCTGCCCCAAATCTATTCCGTTTTATTGCCTTTCTGATACATAAATTTTTATTCAATTTGATTTGCCGCCATTGCTATGGTAATACGGAAGAGATGCACACACGCGTATTCCCTTTAGGCCGGTCTCTCAGCCTCAGCCGAGATGTATACACGTGATGTATCGTGACGCGCGTGTGTATGCGCGTTTTGAAATATAGAAAATACCATTTAATTTATGTATATATAATGGTTGTACTTGTTTCCCTTTGGCTTTCCCTTTGGTTTAAAGAGATGATTTTTTTTCTCTCCAAATTGTATTTAATATATTTGTCAAGACTCGATGTAGATTCTCTTTGGAAGGACAGGTAACATAATCGTCTGCATCGGACTTGGCAATTGACAGCAAATGTATATGCCAGTGTGTGAGCATACCGTGCGAATATCGGTGTGTATTTTTGGAAAACCAAAGACTTGGGTGAAACGCAGGACAAAAGACAGTCAGTCGACGAGCGATCTGTGAATGATCTCTATTGTCTGCATTTTATATAATTTCATTACACCATTTCTTCCTTCAACTTTCTTTCTTATTAAATTCTTAATATTTTTACTTATTTCACTATGTACCGATCTAACATTTATATCTGCTTTCTCTTAGAATCCTCCTCGCGTTTTGCAAATGAAAATGTTACATTCTGAGACTCTATACGTATTTAACTTCCGGACGTATGTTTCATACGTAGATAAATCACCGTGTGAAATATTCCTTATGTTTTTGAATTCTCTCTCTCTCTCTCTCTCTTATTTTCTAAGGTGTTATTTCTCTTGTGAATTTTCCTCTTCTGTCGAGTTTTTTTCGCACAATCATTTTGAATCGTCATCATCGTTTTTCTCAGTCTAGTACCCAGCGCAGCAAGCTAACGATTATTTGAAAAGTCGATTTTGGCTCTTTCTTTCCCCCTAAGGTACGTTCCAGATGGGCGCTGAGGTCGTTAAAAGAGCTCTAAAGCAAATCGTCTGATTTCCAGATCACTCGAGAATAATTTTATGGTTTTTCGATGCACCCGCTCTGTATTTAGAACTCCTGGCTTCGATTTCAGACATCGTTCAAATATTTGTGATATATATATTTTTATATATATAT